TCAGGAAGACAGGGTGCGGGATATTGCTGGTACTGTTGCTAACATACCACTGTTGCACCCAACAGCCTCTTGATGTTCATAAAAGGGCAACCTGCTTTTGGAATGTGGCCCCAATTCTTAAGAATCATAATAGACTATATGAATTAAAGATTGCTATCAATTTTGAAATTGCTGTCTCAACTACCCTGTTACTGAGAAATGTCTCCATGTTTGCTTGTAAGAAAAGGTCACTTAAAAAGTAGGATGACTTCTGCTGTATTTTCATACCTCAAATCTTGAATGAGTCTAGTAGAAGGAATGTAATTCATATTTCAGAACCCAAACTGGTAGGAGCTCTGAAAAATATAGCTTTTGGGTTTCCAGCTTCTGCACACTTAAGTGGCAAGAATAGAATTTGAGCAAGTCAACCTACAACATTTGTCCCACCAATCGTTTTGTCTTCATTCAAGATGTTGGCAAAAATAAGGAGCAGTTCAGAACTAAGTGACACACCATTAGAAAATGCTCATTTCTGGGGTCATGGGAAGTTTGCCATTCCTGGGGATGACCCATGATGATTCCTGGATCCTGATGCTAATTTAACATTTCCTCAAGCTCCTGCTTAAATCCTTCTGGTGGCTATATTGGTTAAAATTGGATTTCTGTTGAGTTATAGAGGACTCAAAATAAGTATGACTTTAACCACACAGTTTATTTCTCTTGTGTAAACACATTTGGCAGTAAGCAGTCAGGACTGACAGGGTATCTCCCCTCATTCATTAGGGCCTCCTCTGTCTTGTCACTCTTATCATCCCCAGCATGTGGCTTTACCTCAAAGTCCAAGTGAGCTCCTTGAGTTCTATCCATTCAATCTGTACTTCAGTGGTGGGAAGAAGAACATTTCAATGTAGCACATAAACCTTTTGATTCCATTCTTTTGGTCTAGTACTTTGTAGGGGATTCTACTTCACTATCAGGGAAGCTGGTTTACATAGTTGTTTGTTCAGACGGCTATGTTCCCGGCTAAGAATCAGGGAATTTATCAGTAATTTCTGTAAGGGGAGAATGCACACTAGTGGTAAACAACAGTTTGCTACAGTGACCTCATCACATTCTGAATTCCTTGTTCATTGTGTCTTCCTCCTTATAATGCAAATGTTTAAAAATGGCAGGTGTCTTCTCCAGCACCGGGCATAGACTGACATATATTTTAGGCACTTTATCAACAAGAGACTAGTTTTTATTGTCTGGTGAAAATGTGAAAGTGGCTTAAAAATAAGTATGACTACGTTTCCTCTAAGAAATGTGCTTGAAAATTTGTGTAAAACACAAAATTTTATGTTTAAATCTTACTTCTCTGAATATAATAGGGCATTTCCAAAAAGAGAGAGGAGAAAAAAGGAACTTGGAAAATTTAGAGGACTATTTTGAAACACAGGTGAAATATAAAGCCAAAAATAAAGTGGGCTGGGAGAGAAAAAGAACTGTTAAGACAAAAAAGCATTGGCAGTTAAAGAATCATAAAACCCTCATAAAAACCAAACTCAATCCTCAATTTTAAACGAGAATGAAAATTTCAAAAGAAGTCACCAGGTCAAATTGCAGCAGGGACATTATGAACAAGTATCTGAAATATAGCATAATGGTTAAGAACTGGGATTAGAATTAATCAATTCTGGCTCTTCCTGTTACTAGCCCTGTTAACTCCACCATTTAAATCTCTGAACTAAAATTTTCTCACCTAAAAAATATTCTTTCAGAACTTTTATAATCAGAAAACGAGAATATGTGCAAACTAACACAGGATCTAATTCAAAGAAATGCTCTGTTGTAGTGATACCATTCTCATGATATATAAGATTGTTTTCCCTTTTCTAAGAAAAAAGTGCTAATTCAAAATAAAATCTATTTTGAAAAGTGAGGCTTTTTTCCTTTGCTTTCTTCTCCTATAAGCAATTATATGGCTCTAGGGATGGCATATATAAAGTTCTAGGTTTTATAATATATATAAAATGATCCCATCCACAAATTTATAATTTTAGCTATTAAAATTCATTTATGGCATTACTTGTTATAATCAATTTATTTCATAAATTTAATAAAATAAAAAAATCGGTCTCCTATTAAGGCAATTTGTACTTATGATACCCAATTTTTCAGCTAACAGAGAAAGCATGATATAGCAATTGACATCAGTAAACTTTTTTTTTTTTTTTTTGGTGGTACTGGGGATTGCCTTGCACATGCTAGCCAAGCTCTCTACCACTGAGTTACACCTTCAACCCTTAAAAATTTTTTTTTGGGGGGTGGTACCATGAGTTGAACATAGGGATGCCTTACCATGAGCTACATCCCTAGTGCTTTTTGAAAAACTTGAGACAGGGTTTCACTAGGTTGCTTATAGCCTTGCTAAGTTGCCAAGGCTGACCTGCAATCCTCCTGCCATAGCCTCCTGAGCCACTAGAATTATAGGTGTGCACCACCATGCTCAGCATGTATTAGTCTTAGATGCTGGTTGTTGCTTATTCTCTCAAGAGTGAGTAAATTCCACCCCAAACTCTGGCTTTACTACTTTGCAGGAGTTGAAATTTCTGGCTACATTTGCCTGCTTCTAGACCCACAGCCTAGTTCTAGTTTATAAGTCAGTTATATTTCTGGTTCATGGAAATGCCTATATTGCATTCAAACACAGGTGGGTTTTTAATTTTTCTTCTATTCTATCTCCCCCCGCTCCCCGCCCATTCAAGGCTCCAGAAATAGATATCTTGGTACTCCCCAGGCTAACATTTTAAAGGAAATATTACATGAAAGACCAAAAGAAAAAATGGCAATTTGGACCACATAAAGCTCTATGCCCCATGCCTGGTAACAAATCCCAATTAAACAGCAGAATTCCAATGAATGAAGATGTTGTGTTGTTCTGGGTTAATAAAAGAGCAGATTAGCAGTTCTATTCTGCTTTGTGCTGATTTTTATCTACTTCCCCAAATTTTATAAGATAAAAAGTAATACAGCATTGAGCCTATTTACAAAATGGTGTATTGCCTATATAAAATATATCTCATAAATCACCTTAAGATCCAGTCAGTTTAATATAAAATGTTTTTAATTGTTTTTGAAAACATTTAAAAAACAATTTTGAGCACTTTTAATAAAAAAAGAGAACTGAAATGCTACTGCAATATTCAACTACTGTAGTTTCAGCAGGTACAACAGACAACAAAACACTGGGGAAATTTGACTTTTTTGCACTAAATGAAAACATGAAACAGGGCTTGTTTTTGTTATTTATGGTGTAGTAAAGCACATTGTAGTACAAGACTATTATTTGAACCTCAGATGCACTAAAAAAAAAAAAAAAAACAACACTTTCCTTCTTTTCAGTTCAAAAGTCAGTGCTTATTGCAATTATATGCAAAATTATTTACTTCATGAAGTCTTATCATGATAAACAGTATGCAAAATGTTTCCAACATCAAAACAATGAAAATAATCTGAGAAAAGAACATATTCAACAACTAAGCAGAATTAGTAAACATAAAAAAAGTAAATAACTTGTGAATAACTATGCCTGCCTGGTTAACACTGAACCAGTTTCAATACAGCCAAGAAAAAAAAGTGGTTACAGGAATACCTAGTACTGTACAAGATAAGTCAATAACACTCATGCACATTTTGTGATCATGTATTAACATGGTGAAGCAAACTAAACTTAATTCTTCCTGCTGTAATATTCTCATGTAAGAGAATAAAAAATAGAAATATCTCATTGAGATCAATGCACATTGCTACATAAGACAATTTTATCTGTCACTTTGATGACATCTTGTCTTTTCATAATGAAACACATTTAAAAAGTTTAATCTGTGGACTGTATTGGTTGCATTTATCCTAAGAGATGTGCCTACCACAGGTTCAACAAATTTAGTGCAATATATGAACCCCGGAAAGTTTGCTGGACGAATTCAACCAAATTTAAAGAGTTTGCTGCAATACTGTACAGGGGGTTAAAAAATCCTCCAGTCTTTATATTTTTATCAAAAAAGATTTCCATTATTTTTATATTAGTAGGAAGCTAATAATGTAAACAAGGGATTAGAATGGCCTCAAAATCTCCTTTTCAGAATGTCTCATATAGAAAGACTCCCATTATTTGTTAAAAGAAATCACACAGTTTCCTTTGGGTATTGCATACTTTGGTGTGCAGTAGTGCTGTGTCTCAATGTACAGTGAAGAAATAACTAGCATCGAGGAAAAAAAACCTAACAGATCATTAAATCAAGATAACAGCAAACACACACAAATGCCAATAACTAGGACATATCAATATATAAACCTCTGAGCCAACCCTAGCACCATTTATTTATCAAAATATGTTAATACCCTACCTTTCAAATTTATTGAACAATAAAAATCTTATTAAATTAAACCCTTCATCACATGTGTTAAATATTCATTGATTGATTGTAGTCTTCTGATTGGTTTATGAATTAAGGTAAAGAAAAGCTTAGCTAGGTTCAAGGTAGCATAGCAGATGGTTTAATGTTAGCTTTAAAAACTTAACGTTAATCTCTTTGAAAGTGATCTTGAAACTCACCTAAATGGAGCTGTCAACTGGTGAGTAGATTTGTGTCAACATGAAATTCATAAATATTATCATAAAACAAAATGGGAGCCATAGAGAGAAACATTTTAAAACAAATCCTGAGTGCTTTGCTTCTTTTGCAATTGTGTTTATCACAATAAATAAATTAAGCATGTAATAAAACATTCCTCTTCTTCAAGTACTGCTATTATCCCCTTTGTTTTATTAGAGATATAAAGATGTGTGGCTTCAGACCTTAGAGGGTGAAATGTTTTTTTTTTCTCATTTTTAATGTCATCTCCTTCCTGCTTGTTTTTCAAAGAGACCCCATGATCAAATTGCATTATTATATGCAGGAGGAGCAAAGGAGTGAGTCACTAAATTGAGGGAAAAAACCTGATTACTTAAGAATATCATAAGGAAAAAAACTTCAAAATAAATCTTAAATAGAATTTTAATATGTATATGCAGCCATTGTGGTGTGACTAGGAAAATACCCCTACCTCAACTAGCAAATAATAAAACATCAAAGTGTTCTAACATGCTTGTATTTACCCTATTAAATTACAATGTCTGGAGTTATTTGTTTTGTGTGTGTTAGCTCCATATTAAAATCAACATTTTAAAATTGGACTAATGCAAGGTCACAAATATAAATGGCTACTAGTTTTTCCTTTTAAAAAATTTAGTGCAGCTTTAACTTTCCTTAAATTAATACTTATTTCCATTATTTTCTCCTATTTAAGCCCTTCATTGTGGGTATAAATGGTACTGAAGCCCCAGAAAGTCCTACAGAGATTTTTCATCCTACAGTAGCTCTATGCTTCAAACCTAAATATTTATAATAACCTGAATATTATCCCTGTTTCAAGGAAGACCTTCTTGTCTACAGTTCACCTTAGCTATGATTTCATATCTAAAAGATAATGCCAACAAGAAATAGCCTATACTTAAATGATGGTTTCTTCTAAATTTTGTGCAGATCAACTAATGAATTAAAATGAACTTATACAAAATAAAGATCTAGACTGCTCTTGTAAAAGCTGGATAGCTGATTCTTTACTAGCAAACAATGTGATTAAATGGGGAACATTATAAAATTTAAAACCTAATACTTGTTCTTCTACAGCCTACTGTCTTCAGAAACTTGTTAAGAACCGAGGCAAGTCTAACCATTTCCTACTGAAGAAGAAACCACTTCTGCAGCAAACGCTTTTAAAATGTCACAATTAATAGTAAGTGTTTCTGCTGCGGGAGGCACTTCCATTAAGACAAATACAATACATATGTCTTTAGATACAGTGTGCTACATATTATAAAACACAATTTAACCCAACATTTCAACAGTAGGATGGTCCTTGCTTTCTATCCATTCAAAACCTGATGAAGTCATAGAGTTCATGGATTCACTGCAAATTTGTTGAAATAACGGGTCATTCTTTAATTCTTCCAGTGTAGCTTCATCATCTTGTCCCTGCTGACGACCTGGATCAAACAGTAGATTTGGGTCTAAAGTGTTCAAATCATTGATGCTGCCTGAGAGGTCAGAAGACAACCTGATATCACTAGAGAAATCAGATGCAGTGTTGGTAAGATCAGACGCTACCTGACCTACCAGCTGCTGGTTGGTTTGCAAGCTGTCTCCACTCAACAGGTCTTTAACAGTGCTATTGAAATCTAATTGTTGCTCTCCAATTTCAGATTGTGCTTGATTATCTCCAGGAGAAAAACTGATCTGATCGGTGCTATTACTTTTGGTGAGGTAAGATGGTGTTTGGAATTCATACACAGAAGTGCTGGAATCAATCATATTCTGAGAGTTGGCACTAGGAAAAACAGTGGAAGTTTCCAAAATCTGGGTGAGATTCATCCGGGCTGTGTAATTTGAGGGAAGGTTGTTCATTCCCAAACCTCTCACTGCATCATCATTGTCAGAATCAAGTTTACTCAACAAAACATTGGTTATTTTTTTACTGTTAGTTTGCTTCTGAAGAGCATTTGGGAAGGCTGTCTGCATCATGACTGTTAATGGAACTGACTGACTTCTTTGAGCTATGGTGTTGGCACATGCATCTGTGTGAACATTTGCGAAAACATGAACTTCTGGGGCTACTGGGCTTCCAAAGGGGGTCACATTAGATCGTGGGATATTAGACACTGGATAGAGGGTGCTTCCACTAAGATTACGTTGGCGATGGACAGCAGGGCTCACACTCCGGCATCTGAAGTTGCTGCTGGCAGATGAATTAGTTGCTTTATTATCAAGAGGCGCAGGGACGGCAAAACCTTCCTGTTTATTGGTGTTATTTACAGTGGCACCCTGATGCTGCACAGGAGAGACAGGAGTCAAACGACCAAAATGAGTATCATGATGTCTGGATTGAGATTGGTAAGACTGTCCAGGCACAGCAAAAGCATGAGGTTTCCTGAAACGATCTTCCACTAGTTCCTGATAGCTTGGGAGAATGCCATGGCCAGAAACTGATGAGTTACCAACCCCACTATACCCATTATTCATCCATTCAAGCTTGGTTTTATCAGGGTGTGTGGCCATGGGTCTTTGCATTGGTTTCACAGGACTGCTTGAGACAATGCTGGCATCATGATATGCCATACTGGAGCTTATTGGGGTGAATGCAAAAGGATTCCTGCATTCAACAGGGCTGGGAGGGACACTACTGCTGCAATTAGAATGTGGAGTACCAATGGGTGTATGTCGGCTACTTCCTAAAGCACTATCCACAGGTGTAGTCTGGGCTAACCTGGAGCAAGGGCTCTCCCGTGATAGACTCTGAGACCCGGCAATCATTTCAGATGTAGGAGTTGGAGTTGGTGTTGGGGTTGGTGTAGGAGTGGGTGTGGGTGTGGGTGTGTGAATTGGAGTGCCATTGCTATGGATTGGATGATAGAAGTGGGTGCTAGAGGCATGAGATGACATGGGAGCTCCCGGAGTTACTGACTGACTCTGAAGGGTCATTCCCAAACAGTTACCATATGAATGTGAATTGTTCATTGACATTTGCTGTTCCATAAGCACCAGTTCTTCCACAATACTATCTTGAGTAAGTTCATCATCAAAAGGAAAGTAGCTTTCATTTGTCTGGGAAACAGAAGGTTCAAACTCTTTCAGTTCGGATTGCAGAGGTAACTGATCTGAAGACTGTGCTTGTATTTGATTCAAAGGAGATTCTTGTATCTGGCTATGTAGCTGCTGGCTATATGCATCCTGTGGCATTCCTTCTAATTCCCAAACGGATTTCTCTAAATCATTGATATCAGAGTGCTCTGGAATTGTCATAACACCAATATCTTGCTGTTGTTCACAGGTGGCAGATATAAATTCAGAATCCTTAGTGACTTGTTGCCATTCATTTGTATTAAAGCTGCCATCTGATTTTGAATCACTGTCCAAGAGAAAGACACTCCCTTCAAGTTTTACTTTTATATCTGGAGACGATGATGGTGTTGTTTGTTGTTCCAAAGCTGAATCACTGGTAATAAGAGCAGAACCCAAGGGTTGATTTTCCACCATGTGTGAATTGACACTGATTGATACCTTGTTAGGAATCTGAGCACCTGCTGTTGAACTTTCTGATTTCCCTGAATGTGGAACCTTTTGGTCCTTCTTAACATTGCCCGTTTTCTGACCTTCTATGCTAACTCCAGGAAGCTGTTCCACAATTGGTTTCTTTACAGGAGGCACCTGGGACTCTTGCAATGTAGAAGATAGTCGTTTTCTTGGACTTCTAGTGCATAATTTTGGGTCTTTATTTATTGAGTCACCATTAGATGGTGAGCTAGTGCTGGTGAAAGTTAGGTTCTGAGTAGCAACTGAGAGAGTGATAGTGCTTTGATTATTGCCTGTCGAAGTGCCTGGCAGAACTTCATTACAGCGACTTTTACATTTGGTCCTCTGGTCACAGACCTTAGTTGCTTTTGTTTCAATGACACCTTCATTTGAAGGTTTTTGCACTGCTCCATCTGTATTACTTTTCTGCCCCAAAAGAGCACTAGGTGTTTGGGGAATTTTAGCCCCATCAGAGTTTTCTTGGCACTGTACAGGATGCTCATCTGATGATGTTTCTGGCTCCATTTTGACTTCCACAGCAGATGTTCCCCCAGTGCCACTGGTCCTGGACCCAGGAGACTGAAGAGAAACAACAGAACCATTCTTAATCTGTGGAATGCTCCTTGATTCTTCTGTTGTTCCTGTAGCACTATTGACTGAGGCAGAATGTTTAAGAGGGGCATTACTGTTGCTGGGTGTGAGGGATATAGTTGTCATTTTCACCACATTCAGAGAACTCATGTGTGAAGCGGGTACAACAGCTGTTTTGATGGGACTGCTAGTAAAGAGGACAGTAGTTGGAGAGCGAATGGTGAGTGCACTGCTGTTGGCTGGTTTGGGTAAGATCTGAGGGTAACGGTGTCGGGCAGAACGATCCCCACCAGGACTGGCTGGGACATTCTGAGGAGTCTTTGGTGCCTGTTTAACAGACTGCATGTGCTGAGTGACCACCTGTACGTTGAGGGGAAGAACTTTGCCTTCAGAAGAACTCATAGGACTTGGTGAAGTTACCAATTGCCTGGTCCGCTGGACCTGTGAAAAGATGGGGAAAAAAACAAAACAAAATCAGATTTAACAAGTCCAGGATATAAAGAGTAATTTGTATACCTATATAATATTGAAGCATTTGTTAAATGTTTGTTGAAAAGAAAAACAGTTTGCCTATCAGTAGGGAGTCCTTTTAGATCAGCTGCTAGAAAGACATACATATTTTAAAAGATATAACCATAATGCAATATAGTTATTAAATGATGATACATAAAACATTAAGATACTGCTCAGTTAACAAGATTAAAAACTTCACCCTTGTTATGAATACTTGCTAAAATAGTGATTTAAAGAAGTTATAAGAAAAGGAGATAAAATCTTGAAACTAGAAACAACTATAAAGTATCTAGTGGAATTTATGCCAAGAAGATGGCTCATTTTGAGGGAGACTATCTTATAAATGGGTGTACCTTGGACATTAGTAACTAGATCACTATGGATAAGATTCCAGACAAAACCACTGGCTACCCAAGTCTGCTCTATAGTAAATAGTAAATACTCCAGGTATTTCATGTTTTAATGACATGACAATGATATTAACAAGAACAACAAAAATAAGATAAAATGTCCCCTAGTAGTAGTACCATCAATAATAACAATGTATCATTTTACTTCAGCAGCATGTACTCTCTTTTTTTTTTTTAAGTGCCTTCACCATCAGTGAGACTCTGTCTCTAAACAAAATACAAACAGGACTGGGGATGTGGCTCAGTGGTTAAGTGCCCTTGAGTTCAATCCCTGGTACCCGCCCACCCGCCCGCCCCAAAGTCCCTTCATCATAACCTCAGTTGTGTGAGAAAGGAAAGGAGACTTTTAAGTTATATTTATAGATAAGGAAACAATTTAGAATAATTAAGGGACTTGCCCAACCTCCTACTCCTATATCCAGCAAGCCAGAGACAGGCATATATTAGATTACCATCAATTCACACTATAGTTTTGTTCTGTCTTAATGTGAATAAAAAATCTTGATCCAAAGTTTACAATTACTTTTTTTTGGGTTCAGCCAGGGAAGATACAATTGAAAATAACTCAAGTAGTTATATGCATAGTTTATGTATCTTGGATCTTCACATCTTAGTTTTATAGATCATTTTGTAACCAATTCTGAATGAAAGACAACTGTTAGATGATTAACTTCCCACCAACCCAGTTAAACACCACTTAATATTACCGGAATGGGACTAGGGACAGCTGCCACAACGATACCAATGGGTTGAGGAGAAAGAATTGCAGGATTTCCATTAGGAAGATTAGCCACTCCATTGGCTGTCGCGCCTTCTGATTTTTTTGCTGAGGATTCTCCTGGCAAAGGGGATTGTAGTTTCTGTTCTTGCTGCTTTTTCTGGATTTTCCTTTGCAACTGCTGTTTAGCATCAATAGGAGATGGCAAAGTCTTTACTTGTGGCTGAAAGGAATTACTTTCAGCTGTAGGTATAAAAGCAGAAGGCTGGGTAATTCCTTTAATTCCTGAAAATAAACAAAGGAAAGCTAAGTAAATACCCTCCTTTATAAAAGAAAGCTACAACGTGATTTCTTTGAATATGTAGCCATCTACTGGACAATTCAACCACATGAGCAAGTTTTAAGTCAATTTAAGTCAATTTCTTACTACAGCATTAAAGTATTAGACTCCCAAATTTATAAACATTTTTCAATGTGATTTTGAAATCTTAAAAATATGGTTCAACTCAGGTGACAGTTTTAGATAAATCAATAATAACAGATGATTTTAAAAAGTGTACCCATATTATAAATGTGCAAAAGTTGAGATAAATGCCAAAATAGCATTTTTACATTTTATCAGATGTCAGTAAATTTTCTTATCTTCTTCTCTATTAGAATGAAATTCATTCATTTTCATAAACATTCAGCTCAAAAGAGGCAACTAATAAATATTTGTTGAAATCATTCCATATCCTAAAAAAATTTTTGTGGGGAAAACAGGCTTTTAAGCCTACAAGAAATTCATAAAAATGGGCACCGCTATTTTAATTGCTACCACATGATCATTCCAGATTAAGAAACAGAATTTCTTAGTAAGACTAAGGTTAAGATATTCTGAAAAGTGTCAGTGAGAAAACTTTTTTTAGTTGTACATGAACACAATATCTTTATTTTTATTTATTTGCTTTTATGCAGTGCTGAGGATTGAACCCAGGGCCTCATGTGTGCGGGGCAAGCACTCTACCACTGAGCTACAACCCCAGCCCAATGAGAAAACTTTTTAATAGTAAGATAAACAGTAAAAAAAAAAAAAAAAGAGGAAGGAATGGTAAGATACAAATTTTAATAAATTGTGTAATAAAATTAATTTTTTAAAAGCTAATTTCATGTTAAGATAATTAGAAAATAAATTGTGGTTAGTAAAAATAATGGGGAAAAGAAAGGGGAGGAAGTATCTTCTGGAATACTTCCCAGCCCAATTTCTGCTTTTCTTCATTCTAGAAAACAGCAACAACTACTGGGTGGGGTGGAGGGTTAGGGGGGCCAAGAAAAAAGAGAAGAGACTATAACTTTCCCACACACTCACTGGTCAGTAATCCCTCATCTTTACCTCTTTTTATCACATTGTATTGTTTTACTCTTCAAATCCAGCTGCATTGTTTCCTCCTGGCCCCAGAACTCAGCTGGACCCTGCACCCTGGAGAGCCTCTGCTAATGGCTCACAGTTGGGCTGTCTTGATTCTCCTGCCAGGGTGTCTGAACAGGAATGAGTTCCAAGCAGCTGACTTATGAAAGGACATTTGTAACACAACCTGTTCTTAATATGGAGACTATATTTATAAAAAATCAAATTCATAGTCAAAGGACAAGAATTAACTTACCATCAAGAATGTTTAAAAAAATATATAGAACAAAATTTCAAAAGATTTAAAAAATGTTTTGAGTAATGATAAATTGGCAAAGTGAATAGTCTTTCAAGCTAACTGCTTTCAAAGAGAAAACACCTGTCATTTTTAGTACTTTCATTTAAAGAAAAACCTTTATTTACACTTATACCTTAAAAATTCACTCATTCTATTCATTCAACATTTCTTTCAGATTTGTGAATAAAGTGGGAAATAAGAGAGATGCTAATGATTCTTTCCTCCATGATGCCTCCCAACTTTTCATTCTATTGAACCCTTTTTGGTGTTAGTATGGTAGGAAAAAGAGAACAAAAAAAGTTGAAGAAGAATAAAGTCTCATTTTGACAGAAGATAAGAAGGCAGTACGATATAATTGAGTTAACCTGGGCTTTGGAGACAGACAAATCAGGATTCAAATCCTGACCCCACCACTTATCTGCCCGTGGATAAGCTACTAACCTCACTAAGTGTGCTTCCTGATCTAAATATTGTCAATAAAAATCACCTATCTCGCAGGACTGCTGAGGGAATTAAATGAGGTAACACAGGTGAGCTATCTATAGCTACAGTGAGCTGCTCAAGCTCTCTCTAGCTTGTGTGTATGAGTGAACAAATTTAAGTAGTACACAGTTTACACGAAGATAGGAAAAATTATGACTAGCTCTTGTAAGAGACTGTTTTGCTAAACTTGGTCCTGAACTATAAAATGAGAGGACAGATTACATGAACATGTACAAACACCTAACACATACTGTAATTCTGGTCAGGATAAATCTACTGTAGAAATACTTACAAGAATCATCTTGGAAAACAAATTTCATATTAACATACTTTCCATATACACAGAAATGATTTTCTAGAGTAATCAGATTTATTCATTCTTCTTTTTTAAAAAATATTTTTTAGTTGTCAATGAACCTTTATTTTATTTATTTATATACGGTGCTGAGAATTGAACCCAGTGCCTCATACATGCTAGGCAAACGCTCTACCACTGAGCCACAACCCTACCCCCTATTCATTCTTCTTTAGGTTTATAAGGTATGTCCAAATAAGACATTTCAAAAGTTTCATTGGAACTGATAATTAAAGAAGTGATAATTAGACAGCTATTAATTTAAAAGGCAGTCATTTATTCCAACACTACTTTTAATTCCTCAAATTAGTTGTCAATTCAAAAAACTATTCTTTGAGCTCAAATTCTCATTTGAATGGGTATTTAAAAAATATTGCTCTTGTTACTTTATAGTAATACTTGACACATTTTATTTCTTGTGAAACAAAGTTATCTGTCACAGTGTCCAAAGACCATTTTATTTATAAACTTTCTTTCTGGGATAGGATTCTACCATGTAATTTAAAAATCTTATTTAACTAATATTTAATCCACTAGTTACATACATATATACTTAAAAGTATATGTACATATATTCTTTAAATTTAAAAATAGCAATGAAAAAATTAATAAAATATCTTCAGGGGAATCCAAATAGTTTTATATTACAGCAGATATACAAAACTACAGCAGTAAGTTCTATAATGAAAGAATTTTTATTTTATTGATTTAATAAGTCCCTCTGAATTTAGTGTAAAGTGAAGTAAGAAGGAACTCACATAAGTACTAAAAAGATGAAGTTTTCTGGTTAATCTCTACTTTAGCTACCAACTCTAAATACAGTAACACTGCCAGTTTTAGCTTAATAATAATTTCATACCTGCTGGTGCTGCTGCCATTACAGTTAAAGCTGCCATTGACTTGGTGCCTATATAGTGACTTTTTACAAGGAAACGGGCTAATTCCAAGACTGTGTCAAACGGCTGGCTTAATACTTTCTGGGCCCACTCACACACAAGACGGCAAGCAGAAGATATAACTTCCTCATCAATATTTTGAAGCTGCCCAGAAGGTTCAGCTCCTTCCAACTAAACAAAGGCAAAAAAGACAAGTTAACTTTTAAGTAAAGTTTAGAGAAATTAAATTGAAAACATTCAAGACATGTATTTTTATTAGGAGATAAAATCTAAATCTGTTGGGCCAAAGTAACATGAAGTAGCCTATTGGCAGATATAAGAGACCCAAATGTACCAGTGTACAGCAGTCAGCAGTATCTGAATATAACATTTCAAATGGTTGTTAAACATAAACAGACTAACAGATGTTTTAAATCTTTCTAAAAGCTGAAAGTTAGGGATGCCAGTATAACTATGATATATTTTCTCTTATCTTACAACCTACACAAACAAGCACACAAAGTAAATATATATTATTGTCAAATCTACAAACCAGTAACTTTGGGTCTTTGTTTTCCAAAACTTCAAGTTGATATACACTAATATCTTTTAACCACAGTGGGATATTTTTGCTTATTTACTTTGTAAAGAGCACAGTTCCTGGTTCTTGGTTCCATCCAAATGAGGCTTTGAAGAATGCATTTCAATTTTGATATTTCTATATAATTCTACCTTCTCTTTTTGGTGTGTGTGTGTGTGTGTGGGGGGGGGGGGTGTGGGCTGAGGATTGATCCCAGGACCTTGTACGTGCTAGGTAGGCACTCTACCACTAAGCTACATCCTAGTCCCCACAATTCTACTTATTAAAAAGACATGGTAGAATTCTTACCCCATCTCCAGTTTTGTGAAAGTCAAGGTTGGGCAGTGTTGGCATATGAACAAAAGCTTTTTTCCTTAGTCCACTGTAACAATATGTAATAAATAGTTAAGGTCTAAAGTACTCCAAAGTAAATGGACTGCCTATATAGACAATACTTGAGAAGTAACCATATATGAAATGAGAATAAGATTAGCATGAAATAACATGTACTTTCTGAATTCTTCAGTAAGAAAACACTTTAGTATTAGAAATAAAGAATACTTTTATATTGTCTTGAAACTGGAATAATTCTTATAGAATGTTAAATATTACTATTCTAAATGCAATGATTCTCATCTGTTACAAATTTTATGAATAAATGTTCCTAATATGCTGTGCCAGCCACCAGTAACAAACAGGTCAGAAGGAAAGGAACAGCCGGATGGAAACCTGGCACAGGGAAGGGAAACTTTAGCCCAGGGCACTAGGACAAAAACAACTCTCCAGAGTGTCACAAGGGCTTTAACCTTTTCATTTCTCTTTTTCCACTGAAACATACAGGATTATCACCTGTAACATGCCAAAGACACATCAAGACATTTTTGTTTATATTAAGGAAACAAGGATAGGTCATGAACCAACTGGTTGAAGAACACCTGGAACTATTTTAGAAAAGCAGCCTTCCTCCTTTCCCCTTTCTCTCATCTCTTCCATAGTAACTAATTTTATGTTTTGAAAAAGGCTAAAAGCTAAGCAGGGAGAAAATGAATGTACTTCTAACACCATCTTCTTCCAAAAGTATAAAAAATTTTAATAAATACTTAATTTTCATTTCCTTACTTCTGTTTGTTCCTAAGTATTTTTTCATCATAAGAACCTTTCCTATCACTGCAATTTTAACACAGGTTTTCCACAAACAATTTTTTGAATGTTGACTATTATTATTAGTATTATTACTAAGGAGATCCCCGTGTTTCTAAGTTAGAAGAGAGAACATAAGCTAACATCTTTCTCTACTTTTGGTGATATAATTTATAATTTCTGAATATATGGTATATCTCATTAATCCTTTATTTTTTGGTACCCAGGATTGAACCCAGGTCACTTAACCACTGAGCCACATTCCTTAACTCTTTTTATATTTATATTTTATTAAGAGAGAGTCTCAGTAAGTTGTTGAGGCTGGCTTTGAACTCATGATCCTCCTGCCTTAGCCTGGTGAGCTGCTGTAATCATTAATTCTTATTGTTAAAGCAAAAAAGATCAGACCATTAACACTTTATAGCGACAGAGAAAGATAACATCTATAATAATCCTAATAAACACATAAATCATTATTTATTCATTTTTTTAGTTTAAAAAAGCTAAGAAAACATTATTCTACTAAGTACTTTTCAACCATTTATATTTGTTGACTTAAATTTACTTCCAAATATAGTCACTAGCTGAACTATGACAGTGGATTTTCTATTAGTGTGAATCTAAAGAGATTAGTAGTAACCTTCTGGTAAAGGATATTTAGATTTGCCTCTAGTGCCCAAACGACGTGCCTTCATGTTTGGAAAGACGTTTTTCATTATCTTTCCAAAGTCAGCAGCACTTAACGGATGGTAACCAAGATTGTCACAGTAGCTCCTGCAGAAGAAGGAGGAACCAATTTAGTGAGGGACAGAATTCAGCATTACAGAGCAAGATGCTATTTCAATACAATTTGATCCTTTTGACAAAGTGAAGCAATGGATCTTCAAGTTATGTGCCAAGATTTATAGAATCACTACTTTTTAGAGACTACTAACTCAGGTTTAACTACCTGCCTTTATGTTCAGAATATACAGTATTGCTTTCAAAAGCACTCAGGAAATTTGGAGTAAGATATAATATTGAGATGAAGTTTTTCAACTAATTCCAAGCCACACTATAAAATGAGTTCATCCAGCTCATCTAGCAGTGTTTTAAGTTTCCACATATGTATCAGGCTCATATACTGGGATAATTTCCAAAAGAAACATCATACAAGCTAGACATTAAGATAATACTACCAGATGGTTTAAAATTTAGAAACGTGATATGGTAGGACTAAAGGAAACTTTAGAGATCATCTGTACCAACAACCTCCTTTTACTGATGAGGTTAAAAATGAGGGCACAGTCAGAGGTTCTTGTCTAATGTTCTTCCCCTCTTCCCTTAGAATCCCTTTTTGGTGAAAGCTTAGAATTGAAAATGGATTCAGAAGTTCAACTTCCTGACAGCTACAGAAATGGTCACACCCTTAAACAATGGGTTAACTCAATGTGAACATTTTCCCTAAAGGGAACAGCTTGATGTTAGGAGATGACCTATCCAATTTTCAGTTGTTACACAATTTTTAAAGAAAAATAATTCTATTATTAGAGTCTCTTACCCACTGGAAAGATCTAGATATTCAATAATTCTGTTTTAAATCTAATTTAGTAGAGTATCTGCAGGGTATGTATTCATAATTTTAAAACCAGTGCTACATTAACCATAGGTCATTCTAGGCCATGTAGAGATCTTGATTAGCTTACATCTTGTTTTCCTACTTCATAACTTTAACTGAAGGTTGATAAAGTAAGATATGGTGTCAATTAACACCTAACTCAGCATAAGATTATATTTATGCAAGACTCAAAAAAGAATGAGAAACAAAGAATGTTCTATTCACAGGATAACTAACACTTTCATAGCATTCTTTCTTTTTTTTTTTCTTTTTTAAGTTTTTTGTAGTTGTAGATGAACAGCATGCTTTTATTTTATTTATTTTTATGTGGTGCTAAGGATAGAACCCAGTGCCTCACATGTGCTAGGCAAACACTCTGTCACTGAGCTACAGTCCTGGTCCTCATAGCATTCTTAAATTCAAATTGTTTAGTACTTTTTCTCTTGATCTTTATTTAAATTGTTCTTAAGATTGAAAATAAGCCTAATATTCAACATGATCATGAACAAGTAATTCACAACCCATATGGTGATTCAATCTTTAGTGCTTATAAATACCATTTACAAATTAATTATGTTACTGGACATTTTTTGAGTGCTTTGTTATCTCATTTAATCCTCCCCAACAACCCTGAGGCAGGTATTTTTATTAATTATATTTTATAGATGAGGAACCTGCAAAGAAAGGTATATCTGGGAAGGATTTGGTTAATCTGTTTATCTCACAGATGAGACACTTTCATTATTTTTCCAAATATTTAAAGATAATTTATTAAGAATTACCATTTTTTCTACTCAAAGCCCCCTTTTCACTTAGATCCACATTGTTATATTTTAGTGAGTCTTAGCATTCATGTGTTACAGATGACAATGAAGAATAGAGAAATTTAGGGAAGTTTCTAAAACATGGTAGAATTATTCATCAAATAATGTATTTGCTAGGTAATCTGGAAGACAAATCAGGTAAAAGTAACATGGTCAAATACGTAATTAATTTGAGCCTTTAAGTGGAACAGTTGTTGAAAGAGTAATTAGATTTTTAATGGAGTAATTAGATTTTGTGACTGGAGAGAAAACTCTGAAAATCCTGATCTTGATCATAAAAAATTTCCTTTTTCATATTGTTCCCAAGTCAGGGCAGAATAATAATACACAGCTGAAGCATGGCTAAAATTCACTGGACTCTAGCATTTGGCATACACATTCAAGAACAGTATAGAAGTGCACAGTGTAATGTATGTGATGATTTGGTGTCCCAAGGTAGCATGACTGGAAAAGCCTGCAGAAGTCTGTTGGCTAATTATAGTGTCTTCTAGTTTTAAGCTTTGATGAGAAATTTTGAGTTGTTAGTAGCACTGTTAACCAAGCTTAAACTAAGATCAAATATCACTGCTGAAATTCACTTGGTGATACTTATTTTTGAGGCAACCACGCAATGAATATATATTATCTGAAAGATTGCTATGTTTGAAACAAACAAAATTAGTTTAAAATGGATATATTAAAAATTTATCATGTTTGACTTAATTTTGTTTGGGGTGTTAGGGACTGAACCCAGGGCCTTAGCATGGTTAAGTAGGTGCTTTTCTGAGTTGTGTTCCCAGCTGCAATATATGATCTTTTAAACAGGTTCTCCCTTTCAACTTACCTTTCCTTTCCATTATTTTAGTTAGGAGTCCTATAAAAAAGATTCATTCCTAGTCAAGGAACTTATGCTGAAGGATAGAGGTCTTATCCTGAAATTTATAAATTAATGAAATCCCATAAGTTTTAGGACAGTTCTCGATATTTTAAAAAGAAATTTGTGTTCTTTATTATTTAATCACATCAAATAGCAAATTATAAAGAAAGATATCACTATTGCCAATGAAACAGCTATTTAATATGACAATTATTTGGTAATTTTTGATTGATATTTTTAAAGTATATACATATATATATATATATATATATATATATATATATATATATATACACACACACACACACACACACACACACACACACACACACATAAGCATACACATATATAAATGACAGATGAGTTGCTCACATGCATGGAGTACAAGCTTTACTTATATGCTTATTTTTTTTTTAATTTTTATTTTTTTGTGGGACTGGGGATTGAACCCAGGGCCTTATGCATGCTAGGCAAGCACTCTACCAACTAAGCTATATCCCCAGCCCCTTTATATGCTTATTTTTATTTTTGGGTTATCACAGTTCTCCTTTGTTTTAAATTAACTATACAGATAATGTACAGATTATGTGAACATAAACATTAACCACTTACAGATTATGAATTAACAAAACACTGAAGAAGAAGGATGTCTTGACCCAATAAATTGAGTAGCAAGGACTCCACCTACAAGATTGTCTGGATCTGATAAACTGGAGCTTGCCCACTATAAAAAGCCTTCTCCTTGTGTAGGTGAAGTGAATAGAATTTGTTAAAACCAACTGGCAAATTCTTAACTTTGTGTCTGCTGAAGATGGTGGAAAATAGTGGTGGCAAATAACAGACTAACCAGAAAGTATGAAGAAAATCTGGGAAATAAGATGTTCAGAGATGCTTTGGGACACGCTTACATATTCCCAGGAATCTAGAAGGCCACATGCATGCAAAGGACTGTGTGTATGCTCAAGAAAGACCTAATAAAGCACGAAGTTCTCAACTCTGGCTTGTTTTGAGGCCTCCCCAAAGCAGGAAATGAAGGCTAGGGAAGAGTAACTGACTGTGTGATTGAGTGTTGTTGCTGTACCTTAAGACATACAGAGACCCTAGGCAAAGCCTGAGAGATTTACTGGTTTCAGGTGGTTAAGGAAATATCTGTCTTATCATTAGTTGACTACTATGCTGAGAAAAGATTTCAGTGGCCCGATAAAATGAAGAATATAGGAAATTCCAAAAAGTCACTAAACAATTTAGGGGAAAATATAAAAGAAAAACACAATATGTTAAAATTTATGGAATGTAGTGAAAGCAATGCTTAGCAGGAAATTTGTAATTATATATGCCTACATTAGAAAAGAAGAAAGATCTTAAATTAATAATCTAATCTTCCATATTAAGAAACTAGGAAAATGAGAGAAAAGTAAACTCAAAGCAAGCAGAAAGGAGGAAATTATGATGAGAATGGAAATAAATGACATAGGGAATAGAAAAACACTAGAAAAATGCTGTTATGGTTCAGATGTGAGGTGTCCCCCAAAAGATCATGTGTGAGACAATGCAAGACAGTTCAGAGGAGAAATGACTGGGTTGTAAAACTCAACCCAATCAGTGATTTAATCACCTGACAGTGATTAATTGAGTGGTAACTAAAGAGGCAGGGTATGACTGGAGCAGGTGGGAAATAGGGAGTGGCTTTGTTGTATACATTTGTATCTTGAGAGCAGAGTCTGACTCTTTGTTTCCTGATGGTAGAGTGTGGCTGGAGGAGGTGGGAATTAGAGAGTGGCTTTGGGTATATATTTGTATCTGGAGAGTGGAGTCTGTCTCTCTTTGTTTCCTGATCACTGTGATGGGAGTTGCTTCCCTCTGCTACCCTCTCCCTTCATGATGTTGAGCCTCACCTCAAGCCCTGAGGAATGGAGCTGACCTTCTATGGACTAAAACCTCTGAAACTGTGAGCCTTCCAATAAAGTATTCCTCCTCTACAGGTTGTGCTGGCCGGGTCCTTTGTCAGAGCTGTGAAAAAGCTGACTAAAATAAATGCTAACCCAAAAGTTTTTTTGTTTTTGTAAAGATCAACAAAACTGATGAAACGGTGGGGGAGGGCAGCAATACAAAAAATGAAAAAGAAATGAGAGAAGACTCAAATAACTAAAACTATGAAAGAAGGGACATTACTTCTGATTATACAGAAAGAAATAAAAAGAACCACAAGAGAATATTATGAAAAACCGTATGCCAATGAACTGGATAATCTATCTGAAATGAATAAATTCTAGGTGCTACCAACCAAAATAGATAAAAAAGAAACAAGACAATTGATTTGTAACAGAGATTGAATTAGTAACGTAAAAGTACCAACAAAACAAAACAAAACAAAAAACCACCCTAGGCTCAGATGCCTTCACTGGTGTATTCTGCTAAGTATTTAAAAGATTAATACCAATCCCTGACAAGCACTTTCCTAAAACTTCTTATGTAAGGCCAGTACCATCCTAATACA